ACCCACTGTGCATGAAACAGTAATATCCACAGCCTGAAAGTTGTATGTTTTTATGTGTGTACTTCACAAATGGTCGTGTTCAGTCAGGTACCATTCACGCTTCGACTTTGGAGGACCTGGGTTCAAAACTCGGCAAACAAACCGCTCACGGTTTTCCTCGGTTCTTTCATATAAATGCTGGATTAATATCTCAAATTAGTCCACGTGTTCTGAGAAAGTAAACAATAAATAATTTAAGAATATTAGACTCTTCTTGGCGGTGGAGTGTCCACTGAGTGCTTCTGGACATATAGCTGATACTAATTATTATTAGTATTGTTATAATATTATGATCTTATAAGATTTCGATAGTGAAGCATCGTAAACATGCTTGGATCAAGTCTCTTTAACGCTGTCTGCAGTTATACTGCTTCATGCATAGTATAATTTGTTTTGTTATGATCTTAACTTGTTTCAAGATCATAACAATTGTTCTGTACCACAATTTACTGAACTCACGCTGGTTATACACGTATACGAGAGTTATGTATGTGAATCCGAATTCTAATGAAGATTAGGAATGAAACAGGTTCTCATGGTTTGCTTTAGGTCTGGTTCTTACACTGTTGGAAAGCGGCCTCCGTAGTCTAGAGGTAACGTTCCCACCTTATGACTTGTAGTACGCGGGTTCAAATACCCGGCGGAGGTCGTCGAATTTTTAAGGGCGGAAAAATTCAGGGAACAAGTCCTCCGGGAGGGACTTTAAGCCGTTGGTCCCGTGTCGTAGCTTTACGGCACGTAAAAGAACCTATCTCCAAAGGAGGTCATTGAGCCAAATTAACGGACGTTTCCCGCCCAACAGCAGTCTCTAATACCTCTGGTAGATGGGGGAAGCATTATAGATACCTCTCAGCCAGTAGAGCCGGTCTCGCTGGCTGGGCGGGACTGATGGTAAGCACCAGTACCGGTAGGATATAGAGACTGGTAGAAATCATAGAGGGAAGCACAATGGACCAATACAGGTCTCAGTGCATGGGGAAACCCACCCTCTCCAATAACTAACTAACTAACTAACTAACTAACTACACTGTTGGAAATCTTCCATTGCTCTATTAAAACGGGAATTTGAACTATCACCTAAAGATGGGCCGCGCCACAGCTCAAGCGGTTAGTCACTGGCTTCTCACCGGTGAGGTGGGATTTGTGGTGGACAAAGTGGCGCTGGGGCAGGTTTCCTCCGAGTACTTCGGTTTCCCCTGCCAATCTTCATTCCACCAACTGCTCCACAATCACCCTCACCTATCATCTAGGGCTGGTACAATAGGCCAGAAGTGGCCGCAGTACAAGGGACGTAGTCCCATCCAACTAGCAATAAAAAAAATCACCTAAAGCTAATGGGTTTGCACCCTAGGAGACCAAAATATTATTTTAAGATTGGCATGTAAATATTGGTAAGATCAGCATAAAATGGGTTAGGTCATATCTGTTATGACCAATGAAGTTTGTTACGTAAAGGTAGGCATGGCGACTAAACAATATTAATTAGACATGAAGAAATGTGGTTATGAGATAGTCACTGGCGATTACAGTGGCCGCGCAGTCTAAGGCATTAACTGTCTTCGTCGGCTCAAACACTGGGAATCCCACTGGAGGCATGTATGTCTGTCCGCCTGTGTAGGTAGCGGCCTTGCGACAGGGCTGATCACCTATCCGAGAAGTCCTAGCAACTGTCCGTCAGATCCATAGTGCCTGTTTATATTCTGATGGAAAACAGGCCAAAGGGCCTAATACGAAAGGAAGGAGGAGGAGAATTCATAACTGGCGCACACAGAATGAGTTATGAACTCGAAAGGTAAGAAGGTTTCCAAGTATAGGTACAGGGCCCTATTTGTTGTGGCGTCTGATACGTTCTTAAAATTAAATTGTGTCGGCTGGCACAGGACTAAAGCGAAATGACTCGCGTTTGGGAATTCTGCAGTTGAATCTCGGCCAGGGACCGACTATCCTAAGGGGGCCCATACACGTTCGAGTCTGGCTCGCGAGTCCGACTCGGCTCGGCTTCCAATGAGCCAAACTCGTCCTTGTGTGGGTCGCCACGCTCATACGTGTGTTGTGAAATTAATCCGAGCCAGACTCGTACGTGTATGGGCCGCCTAAAGATTTGTCTTCAGTTCCTCCCAGCGAATGCACAAATTAAACTCTTCTTTAGCATTAAGGCACCATGGTGTACGTTGAAAGCGCATTTAGACCCGTGCATTAGTAAATGGAAGAGTGGTCAGACCAATACTGCTTGGCCTCACATTCCTCCGTACATGTAAGTAGCAGTCTTATTACTTCTCATTTGACGATTAATACCTCAGCAGTCAAAACACCTTAATGAAATAACTAACCACCCAACAATCATAATATTAACGACAGAACTTCTTTACACTATTTGCAAAATGCAGATTGAAATCCCTTCAGCGCTGTGTTTACCTCTGCATGATTTGACCTTCAGACACTACCTTGATAAAGTCGAATGTAGGTCTATCCGCAACAAATGTAACCGCATCCGGAAGACTCATTAGCACAGGTTCAGAGATCGCTAGCTATAGAAACAAAAATAAACTGCTCAATTTCTGAACCTGAATCGATTCGAGCAGGGGTGAAAATACACAGCCGCGGGCTCCGCCACAAAATTAGCACCGTTTGCGCAATGACAACTAGTTCATATGTTAACAGCACAACAACGGGCGTGGGTAGTTCAAGCACTCTCCAGCATCAAAGGTTAGGTCCATACCCACTTTTCTGTGCCCCACATTCACTTACATTTCCCTCGTCACACCACGCAACCACTGAGCTGTGAAGGCCGCAACTTTCCACTATTTTCACTAACGGAATTAACAATACAGAAAACACAGAACCATACACTGAAACACACACATACTACTAATAACTGTTCTATTTTTGCGCGCATTCGTTGCTGCTGGAACGTGTTACCGAGCCGTTGCCTAGTAACGACGAGGGGATATGCGGTACATACAGACCCATACAGTGATGGGAGGGTTTTATGAAGTACGCCATTGAGATGGACTCACGTGCCATTATATACGTAACAAATTTCATAACGATTGGTTCAGGTATTCGAAAGTTAACAAGGGGGTACACATACAGACAACAGACAGCAAGGTGATCTCATAAGCCTACCTATGTTTTTTCATACTGGGGAAATTTGGCTAAAAATCGTGTGGAATGATAAACGTAAGATCCAATTTTTTAGGGGTTAGAAAGATGCCACTTTCTTTCAATGTAGGCAAATTGAATGTTTAAAATATACGTACTACGAGTTTTGCAGTTACATGTGCCAGAGATGAAAAGACGATCATACGGCAGGAGTCGGCAGATAACCCGATGCTGTGATTATAAACACGTGGTAAAGTGAAAACAAACGTAGGCGGTTCTTCTCAACAGTTATAGAATACATAAAGGTAATGTAATAGGCGAAAGGACATGCGCTGATGCTCTAATCCCAAGGTGGCAACCCACGACTCTCCACATCCCCCAACTTAACCGGTAGACTATTTCTACAGACGAAATATTAAAAATGTTAATGAAGAAAATTTCCTTCTGGGATGTGGCGCCGTGTAGATATTGTGTTAACCGACGGATCGGAGGAAGGTTTCGCCTCCATCCTCAGGGTAGAAAAAGATACGTTCCTCCAAAACGTCGGTTAACACAATATCTACACGGCGCCACATCCCAGAAAACGGCTTCTTTTTCATAGTCACCTGAAAACCTCAAATCTTACATTAAAAATGTTGCTTATAGACACCATATTATGAGAAATTGGTGGGAATAGAAACAACCCCAAACTCCTCATCAAAAATGTTTCCATACATAAAATAACAAATGGAAAAGAGAACTCCGATGGAGAACACATTCTGCGCAGACCATATTCTTTCTTCGCTATTTTGCACACCTCATTGGTATAGGTGCCCATTCATGAATTCACCGATGCAATAGTAATCACTAATCACAATACAGCTAGTACATTGCAAAGAACCAAGAAATATTCTTCTTCGCCCTTCTTTGTCATCATATCAAAGAACATTTCAAATGATCCTAATGGGATCTATATTTCGCTATTTGATTTTTTTAATTATGTAGTTCGGTCAAGCTCTAATTTTCATAGGTTCATATCCGATATTTTATTATACGAACTAATGGTTTTTGGCATGAATCACTTTTAAGACAAAATTATCAAATCAAATATTATGTAACGGTCGAATTGGGCTGACATAAACGATCATTTAACTAGAAGAGATCTACCTTCCGGGATATATCGTCGTGCTGTCCATCAAAAGTCAACGGACGTTCAGGAGGCACATGTCGCCCCCATCTTCGTGTACGAAGAGCAAGCCAAGTAAGAAGACAGAACTCTTCATACCGCTGGGACAAACTCAACTCTTACAAACATTTAATTATTCTTATCGTTAAGACATCCAGCGTCAAATTACATCGACATGTGCTCGGCAGATCTGGTTATGCTACATGATTATGCATCAATTCCGTTAAAACTGCACATTAAAGCAATAAGTATAATCGTAGCAATACAAATGCAGTATAGCAAAACTAATATGTTTATTGACGAATTATATATTCTGGGATATAACGCAGTGTGGTCCGTTTAAAGTCAAGAGTCGGGGGAACATGTCTCCTCCATCTTCATGGCCAAAGAATAAGACAAACAAGACACCAGCGTGCAAGCAGGTGGCAAGCCGAAACCTGAAGAACGCGACATGTTCCTCCGAAATGTCAGTTGATTCTCAACGGACTACATGGCGTTATATCCCAGATGATAGAACTCTTCATATGCACCGCTGTGAGAACCTTTAATTGTTAACTGAATATGTACCATAAAATGTATCCAATATAAATTTTACTGTCACCATCCGGCTTGCAGCTAAGTCAGGGTTTTCTGATTTTAGACAGATCCTCAAGCTATCCAATTTGCTCTGAACTGCTCCAAACCTTGAACTTACCAACGATGACTTTTGTAGCTGCAACACCTTTGGCCGCAGCAGCAGGTCCATGATGCAAGAAGTCTGAAAGCGACAGCGAAGACGCAATTATCTGCCGCTTCTCTTCAAAATTCAAATAATCCAGACTGTTACTCCTCTGCGGCGTTACTATTGTTACAGCCGTTGGCTTAACCACAGCCACTACACCACCACTTCCGGGACTATCACTCTTTTCGGGAGATGAAGGTTGTCCTGGCGACGGAACCAAATACACACCACTAACACGTATTGACATAATGGCGACGATACAGACGTAAAGCTTTGAACACAGAACCACACCACACGTGCTCTTCCGAAACACGTTATACTGGCATGGCGGGTACTATACACACACTTGTAGGCCTACACACACGAAGCTGTTGCTCTCGCTGCTGGAAGCGGGTTCATGGTGTAACCCTCTCCTTTTGCAGTAGCCCCAGCGATCAATACGAACTCCGCACCTGTTTCCCCTTCAGAACCATTTAGATTATGGCTATGAGGCTTACCGACAATAAGCCACAATAATATCTGGTGACTACGACACAACACCAGAATACACACATAATTATTAACTTCGCGGTCAACCCCTCTGGAAGGAACCGACGCAGAAGATATGAATCATCAGAACACATAATCACACTCAAACATCACTCCAAATACCACGCCGTACAGACATGCGAAGCATGAAGCAGATATTTCACGAATATATTAACCGTCATAACAGTTAACTATGGACTGCCGTTGTTGAGAACGATTAACAATATCGGTTTGGACCTGTGGACGGATGGCCAGTAATGTAGATATATAAAATTTGTGATTTTTTCCCAGCTTCTTTTTATGTTATATATTTTAACAAAAATACACACACTTTTCTATATCTTCTCCTTAGACGTGATATTCTTGCTTACTTGCTGGCAGACACGAGGTATTTGTGATGACTAAAACACCTACCGAAACAAACTTACTACTACCTTCCAATCCACGCGAGCTCTACCACTCTACTGGCGAATGAAGACAGAGAAACAGTCAACATGCCCGCTACACGCAGCCCAGGAGCCGTCCGACCTAACGACCGACTAACTGAGAGAGACAGAGAGAGAGAGAGGGAGAAAATCATACCGTCAGGTCTACCAACACCTCGAAGTTCACACCAACTCTATTAGACACAATCCAAAGTGACGGCCTACAGGTTAAAAGAAGTCATAATTACTTCACACGAAGATTTGGGTCATCTTGAAAGGAGGACACTGTCAATGTTCTGGGAACACATCCAACAGCTGTATAGCAAAATGGCTATTATGTGGAGCGAATATTTGTATTCAACGACGTACATTATGAACTGGGCGTGAAGATACTGTAACATAGATCTAAAAACAGTCGTTATACTTGTACTACAAAATTAATATAAAAATTAAAACAAAGAAGTTAAACCCAAGACTTAAACCCAGTTCTATTTCAAAATTACTGAACAATATACCTTCCACGATTAATCGATTAACAACTCAGGAAATTGCGTCCATCGATGTCTACATGTGCTTGATTGGAATGTGTTAAGTTACTCGTTTGTTAATCATTCATGTATTCTTTTTCCTTGGCACTACAGCCCCAGTTGGCCTAGGCCTACCTCCATGAACTTCTCCGTTCATTTCGGTTTTTCTAGGTCTTACACATTCGGTAGGACTCCTTGGGCGGGTGATCAGCTCGTCGTAAGGCCTCTACCTATACATAAACACAGAAAAACGCACACACACACAAACTAAACATCCATGCCCTTCGAACTCACGATCCCGGTTTCCAAGCGAGCGAAGACAGTACATACCTTAGACCGCTCGGCTACCGTGACCGGCCATTCATGTATTAAGTTGCTATTTTCGTGACTAACGAAGTTTCTATATTTATTTTCATATTAAATTTCATGTCCCTGTATTGTGATTTTAGTATATATATGTGTACATGAACATCAGAGTAAAGTACAGTAAAACTTGGTTATAGCAACATCGGTTTCTGCGACACCTTGTCTATTGCGTCAAATATTCAATGGTACGAACTAATTCCTCATAAAGCAACTGTTTTTATACCTTGCTTAGTACGACATGCACAAATTCATGAACCTCCTATGTAACGTCATTTTCATTCCTGAATTTCTCCGATATGGACACTGAACGTAATTTAGAAAGTGTGTATTGGGCAAGTAACAGGAAACAGATGAAGATAACTGATTACTGTACTCGTATCTAGGTACAGTAAGGCACAACAATTGATGTAATCTACTGTAATTTGGTGAGTAGGCCTACCTTTAATATACAGTGTTAGTGTGGTGTGTATTGTCAGTGAAAAGCGCTGTAATATGTCTTTGATATTACATATTTGGGCAATTCCACGTTAATGTTACGTTAGTCTGTAGTTAACTACGTATTTCACTAAAAAATGCAACATTTTAACTCGGTTTTTGGTAGATTTTTACGTGACTAACATAAGGCTACTTTGGAAGTGCCCATTTCGGTTACAACGACATGCGTTTATAACGACACTATTTTTAGGTCCCTTTGATGACGTTATAACCAAGTTCTACTGTATATACATACGAGAGGCCTCAGACGATTGCCTTATTGCTCAATCATATAGGTTCCTTTTAAACATGAGTTTGAGCCTTATGATCAGTGATGTATGTTGACGGTTCTTCTGCACAGACATTGAAGTTTCAAACACCTGACTAATTTACGCCCGTTTGTAATATTTGTTTTAATCTATCAGTGGTGAGCTGGAAATAAATTAATATATTATCAAACTGATCGAAATGAGGATGAGATAGGCGGGGCATGTAGCACGCATGGAAGCGAACATTTGTGCATTCAAAGTTTTAGTATGAAAACCGGAATAAAAGAGTCTACTAGGAAGGCCTAGACGTATATTGGAAGATAATATTAAAATGGAGTGTATAAAGTGGATTTATCTGAGTCAGGACCGGTACCACTTACGAGCTCTTCTGAACAGGGAAATTAAATTTCGGGTTCCATAAAATGCTGGGAATTTCTTGAATAGCTGAGAAACTAGGAACCCTGAAGAAACACTAAGCTCCAAAGAATTAATTATTATTTGACTAACACAGGCAGTAGCCTAAATGTTTATTTAAACGCTACTTCCTTTTTCGTACAAAGCATCGAGAGTTCGTACGGCAAAACTTCGCTTTTTATGTATATTAACGGGAACGAGAAGCAGTAGCATGACATTAAATATAAAAAAGGCGTATGAAATGAAACTGGCATGATCTGCTGTACGATATTGCCTGGAAATTCCACTGGACGGTGGTCTAAAACAGAACGTTATCAAGACAACCTGCCTATTTCCGGAACTGGCATCAGAAGGCTAGGATCTTCCAGAATGTGGCGCCATGTGACCCCGCTGAAGTTTACTGACGTTAACACGAAATATGCTTACATTTTTACCAAGGTCACAGAGTCACATTCCAGAAGAGGGTAGTCTTCATGCTCACCGCCATAAGAATCTCGAATCAACTGCCTGCAGAAAGCAGTCTTGCACAGTCACTCTGACTCTCCAGTCATAACACTGTCACGTGTATGAGTAACTCCTCCCTGGAGTTCGGATTGGAAACTGGATTTATTGAGCACTTACACACAAAACTCGGAACTACAAGTAATTACAGCGTCATCGATAATCGCCGCGCTTTACAAATCACCACAGCACAACGAAAGTGTTTTCCAGACTGATGTGTCTTCACCAGCTGTTCCCTGATAACGGCTTGTAACAGTGGAGATTCTTCAGTTTCCGCGCTCGAGTCCTCTCTGTAGGGCTGCTCCCTGCCAAATGTACTTCCGTACAAAACTGATCTGATTGCCCCATTTGTCTTCCTTATAACTCCTCGGCACGGCCCATGCAGACAACACCGTTCATTCTTGTATGTGTAACCGTTGACGCGGGAACGTGTTTACCGATCTTAATAGAATGCATCCTGTTGTGTCATATATAGAATATATAAAGTGTATAACTGGGGCAGTCTACAGAGCAATATTCCTGAAAAACAAAATAGACACTATTGAATCAACATGTTTTATTTTTCGGTTGACACTACATGTTTCGGGCCTTATATTGGGCCACGTTCCTTAGCAGCGGCTGTCTATTCTTGCTTATTAACGATCTGCTGGCTAGCAACGGACGTCATTCCGTTGTCTGTTTCGTGGCCGTTGCTAGAAACGAGTCCACACGCTACAGTATATTCACTTACTTATCCTACACAGCGTCGATGATAAGATGATTCGCGTGCAAGGAACCGGAGCAAAAGTTGAAGGAAGCAGTCGTGACGAAATGTGAGATACTATCCACGTATTTTCCTCGAGGGACTGAGAAAACAACGACAGATATCAGGACAACCGGCGTCCCTGCCGAGATTAGAACCGGGCTTCTCCCAAGTATAAGACAGAGGTACTACCATTTGCGCCAACTTGCTGGTCCATTTATAACCAAATTACTCCACGTCTACTGCTCGACGTACACCGCATCCGCAGTTGATGAAAGGTCGTAAATTACGCAAAAATAAGGAACATACAAAGGGAAGGGGTAATTCTGTCAGCATTTGCATATACAATAGCCCTCAAACACAACATATTATGTGACAGAGCAGGCCGGTGTAGTGATCCGGGAGATGCTCGGTTCGAATCTCGGTTGCAGCAGCGACAATACTGAGGTGTTTCTCTGTCTTCCTCAGTCCTTCCAGGCAAATACCTAAATAGTACCTCGATTACATTAAGACTGCTTCCTTCAGATCCTTTCCAATTCAGCATTTAGCTTTCATCCGACCAATCGACGATATAAAAGGCAATTAGCACTACGCCATGAAGGCGTATGGGGGACTGGATGTATAGATTCACATTTTCTTGACCTCGGTACTAGTTGGAGGTGAGTGGTCAGTTTCACACTCTTGCCGCTTTACACCAGGGGGAAAGAGCCCCGGGTACCCAATGGATAAGAGGTTGGGTGCATCCCAGAGCCGGTCTTGACGACGTGGAGTAGAGCAAATTCTTGAACCTACTGGGTTTCCGTTAAGAGGCTAAGTCTATCCTAGGGCCACAGAGCAGCCAGGATTACGTCAATTGAAAATCCAATGACCTCAAAGGGAATCGAGCCGGAACCTTCCGGCTTGTAGCATAGTGCCTGAACCAACTACGATACCGCGTGTCCCTTGATGCTGAGTAGTCTGCTTCATAACAACGTTTCGTAGCAAAGCGCTGACCCCATCTTCAGGATAAAATATAGACGCAGTACGTTCTTCCAAAATATTCCGTTATCTGTCTGAATATACGGCGTTATAACCCTAATGACAGTACTCCCGAAGCATTGTCAAGCACAACAGCAGAGGTGGATCGGCAATTTTGACTGCCAGGCAAAGAGCCCCCCCCCCGTGTTCACTTGAGAGATTGTTGGGTGATGCTGTTCTGAAGGCGACAGTAAATAGTTTACTTAGAAAATAACAAAAAAAATTGTTTAATTTTCTGGGTTGCTGACTTACAGAAGATCGGCGATCGTCAAATTCTTGTTTCAGTGCTACGAGAACGATTAGAATATGCAAGATATGTTAATAAAAAAAAAGCCGCGAGAAGTAATATAAAGAGCTTGCTTTATCTATGTAGTAATCCTAGTTCCTTCCAGCTCTCTTCCTTCCCTCAGATAGTAATCCTATCCCAATGAGATCACCTAAAACAACTAACTGTTGTCGTCATCGTAGTCATAATCCGGCTTCTAATTGTTGGTTTCACGCAAACTTCCAAAAGCGCTTTCTTTCTTCTTCACTCACGATTATAACACATCGATACGAAAAGTATTCTATTTTTAAACCTTATCTGGAAGTATCTGAAACGCCTTCTCTACATCTCTTTATGTATGTGATGTCGAATACAAATTTTTTTAATTAATTTCGACAGCCATTCCACTTCAATTTAGTGTATAGTTAAAATTAAATTGTTAAAAGTTAATTTATTTAATTTAATTTTATGGATCTGGGCAATATTCTAATGAAACGACAGCATTAACCCACAAATG